TTGGGTTAGTATATCATATTTGTTGTTGTCGTTTTCGTTGTACACCGGTAACTTTGCTAATTTTGTGATCGGACGTTTTACAAGCCCGTTTTTCGTCTTGAGCTGAACTACTCTGACATGCCCGTCATCACCAGGGTATAAATTCATAACTCTTCCCATCAGCCATTTTCCTGGGGGCATGTTTTCTTCATTTATAATAACAATGTCGTTTACTTTTAAATTACTCTGTGCTTGTTGCCACTTTCCTCTTAATAATAATTTTGATAAATATTCAGAGCGCCATCTTTTCCATACATCTTGAAATATCCTCTGTGTTAGCTGCCATCTAGTTCTCAAATCTCTTTCTGTTTCTACTAATGTTAAAACCGAACCGGTAGCGAGAAAGTGAGCTGGCGTTAAGAAGTCTAAATCTTCGATATCTTCAGATATAGGACAAAGGGGCCTCGAGTTTAAGCACGCCTCGATTTGATTAAGTACTGTCGTCATCTCCTCATATGTTAACTTTTGATCGCCTATGACTCGTCTTAAATGATGTTTTAGGCTTTTAACAGCCGCCTCCCATAGCCCTCCGGCTGAAGGCCAGGAAGGTGCATTAAAGTGCCAACTAATCTCCATTTCTGATACAACTGACATAAACTGGTCGTTGAAAATGTTTTGAAGTTCTCGATATTCCAACTGTATTATTTTATTTGCCCCTACGAAATTACGCCCGTTATCGCTGTAAATGTGTAAGGGGGTACCTCTTCTTGCAGCCATTCTACGTAAAGCCGCTATAAAAGCTGAGGTGGTTAGATCTGATACTAGCTCCAAGTGAACTGCTTTTGTCACCATGCATACGAAGACGGACACGTACCCTTTTGTGGTTTTAGAGCCACGGCCTTTATTTGTTTTTATATAAATGTGGCCTGTAAAGTCCACCCCTGTGTGGGCAAACGGTCTGGAGGGATTCACTCTAGCACTCGGTAAGTCACCCATTATTTGATAATGTTGATTTTTATTGTATTTTTTACAGGTAACACATTGACGCAATTGTTTTTTAATAATTCGATTCCCGCTAATGATCCAATATTTTTGTCTTAAAAGACTCAAGGTTAACCGAGCTCCACCATGGTAAGTATTTTCATGTGCTTCACGTATTATTAATTCGGTAAGTTTACTATTTTGTGGTATCAAAATAGGAAACTTCATGTCGGCATTTATGTTTGCATGCTTTAACCTCCCTCCGACGCGTAAAACTCCTTTACTATCCAAAAATGGATTTAAAGACAATAGTTTGCTTTTCGATAATATTTTGTTTTGCTTTTGTAAATTAAAAATGTCTTCCGTAAACTCAGTTTCTTGTGTGTGCTTGATAATTCTAATCTTTGCTTGTCTTAATTCCTCGATGCTTAAATAATTTGTTTGAATCACATTTTGTTTACGTGCATTTGATATAAAACGATAACACCATGCTAATATTTTTGTTATTTTTATAAATGAGCTGTAGGTATTTAACATTATAGTTATGATATGATGTTCATTTGCTTGCGGATGCGTAACTATTGTGACTTGATGCGACTTTTTCACTTCTTCATTTGTTAAATAAGTGATATGTTTATTACAATCTCTCTTTTCGAAGTTCCGAAGCCACGATGGACCTTGCCACCATAACGAGAGTGCCTGTAGCTGTGTTAATGATAATCCACGGCTTGCGCTATCTGCAGGGTTCTCAGCTGACTTCACATAATTCCATTGCTCAGGAAGTATAACCTCAGTCACTTGTTGTACACGATTGGCCACAAACGACTTCCACCTGCTCGGATCCCCTTGTAGCCAACCTAACACTGCTGTTGAATCAGTCCATCCAAATACTTCTGTTTTGAAGTCTTTGAGACAATTTTTAGCAATAACCATTAGTTTGGACAATAAAACCGCTCCACACAACTCTAGTCTCGGCAGAGTTATATTTTTACTTTTAGGTACTAATCTGGATTTTGCTGCGACTAGTACAACCGAATTATTTTGATTTTCATTTTGGTGTTTTCTCATGATAACACAATATATAACGCATGCGTAAGCCTGAGTTGACGCGTCACAAAACCCATGTAACTGAATGACGTCATCCTTTCTAGATTGTATCCATCTGGGAATTCGAATTCGTGTAATATTTTTGATGTCTTCTGTAACCTTATTCCATTCTTCTGTTATTTCAATGGGGAGTTCGCTATCCCATGATATATTTTCCACCCAAACTCTTTGAAATAACAATTTAAGTTTTGTTATAACTGGTGTGACCCATCCTAAAGGATCAAATAGTTTTGATATGGCTGATAATAAAAAACGTTTTGTCAGTTTTGTAGGATTTGTGATTAATTTGAAGTCATATGAAAAATCGTCTGATTGAGGATGCCAACGTAGCCCTAATGTTTTTGTCGATGTTTCATTTTTGAAGTCGTAGGATTGATCATTGTTTGAAGCCGTACTGACACCTTCTAGCAGATCTGGCGTATTTGCTGACCATTTTCTAAGATTAAAACCACCCAATTTTAGTAAATTAATTAAGTCTGTTTGTAACTGTTTTGCTGACGGTATATCATAACTACCCGATAAGAGATCGTCCATATAAATTCCGGCTTGTTGTTTTTTCGAAAAATTCTAAACATTGTTTATCTTCTTGAGAGTAATTCCCGTGTTCGGGTACATCTTCTATCTCCCAGAATTGTTTGAAGGCATCCGTGTCGATTTGAACTACGTTGCAATGAAAACTTCTCATATTTCCACAGAGAATCCAACCGAGTCATGTTTGTTGCGCGATCGGTAAGGTATTGTTTAATCTACAAATTCCTTCCAAAATAATTTGTGAGTATATGTCGGCTCCTAATAATATATCAATTTTTCGACTTATATAAAACTGGGGATCTGCTAATTCAAGATTTTTTAAATACGGCCAATCTGGTTTATTAAATGTGTAACTAGGAAGATTTTTTGTAAGACTTTTCATGATATAAACATCGACGCTAAACGAATAAGATCCGTCGACCGAGCAGATATTTATATTAACCATTCCTTTACAACTGCTATCCTTAGCGCCTATTCCTGTTATTAAACCTTTACATCTGTTTCGCGGTAGACCTAAAAGTTGTTCTGCATTTTCTGATATTAATGATACTTGCGATCCTTGATCAATTAGGGCGCGCAATGTTTGATAAGAACCATCTAATTTTTGTACTTTGATAAGTGCCGTTGATAATAATGTTTCAGGCATTTCTTTAGCCTGGGCTACGTGCGAATTGCTATCGCGACGATTATGACTCGATTTCGAGGTCGAATCCTCATATGACAGCCCTGGCGAGGAATTTATATTTTGCTTACAATATGCTTCATGAAGTATCGAATTATGGCTTCCATTACATTCGCGGCAACGTTTATTTGATATGCATGCATTTCCGTAGTGATCAAACAAACAGTTTGAACAAAAGTTTAGTGTTTCTATTGTTTGCCGCTTACTTAATGGCGTCATTTCTTGAAATTTCTTACAGAAAAATATGCGATGTTCGCCATTTTTACACACTGGACAGTTTTTACTGTAGCGGTAATTAAGTTTATTATTCGATTGAACTATAGGTTTGTTTCCTGAGTATGCTTGTTTATAATTATTTTTTTTGATAATTGTTTGTAGAAAGATTTTTATTTTGCTGTATATTTTCCTTTCTCTTTGATGACTCCATTGTCGTAAATTTACTCTCCAAAAATGATAAGAGATGTGCTAAGACAGGCAACTCTCGTGGTTGTTTAAGAGAAGCCGTATATTCATTGTGCGTTTCTGGATCGAATTTTTGGCTCAAAATGTATACCAATAATGGGTCCCACGAACTGATATCGACACCCATATTTTTGATAGCGTTCAAACATTCCGTTGTTGTATCATGGATGCGTTTTATAACATTGACAGTTGGTTGTGACATGCTAGGTAAGTTCATCAAAATGCTGATATGCGAATTAAAAATAAGTTTTTGATTGTTGAAACGTTGATTAAGGATATTCCAGCAAATATCGTAGTTATCTGAACTAATATGAAGATGTTGGACTAATCGTTCTGCCTCTCCTCTTAATTTAGTTTTCAGAAACTGCATCTTCTGGGCGTTAGAAAGTGAGCGGTTGTTATGAATTATTTCAGAGAAAAGATCCTTAAATGATACCCACTGGTGATAATTTCCACTAAAAATGGGTATATCGATAAGGGGGGTTGATTGCTCCCTATGTTTCTCTGACCATATTTTAGTATTAATCTGTTTCTTTATTTTGTTATAGGTTAACTCATTAAATGAAAATGTTTGTTCGTAGTTTTTGTTTTCGCCATCAAGTTCACTATCTAATTCCCAGTGTAATGCATCAATAACTGCCCATCGCGATTCTAATGTTTTCAAGGCATCTTGAAGCTCCCATTTTTCTGATAAAAATTCTATATTTAAATTGGAAACAGAACGAGAAAACGCTCTAAAGTTGCTGTTTTGTTTCTTTAACATTTCGTCAAGCTTACTATTAGTACCATGCGATCTAGTTTTCGGAATATTATATAAAATTTCTTGAGGCGGATTATCTGTCGTTGCAGGATAACTGATGCGCTCCATCGACACCGACGGTGACTGTGTCGGTGTGCCTAACGGCGTAGCAGGTTTCAGGAACGATTTAGTATTTTTCAAAATGTACTCACGAGTAGATGTATAAAAATCATATGCCCTTTGATAATGATTGCCCGTAAAATAGTCATGCGATTGTTCACCTACATTGCAAAGTTGTGAATGATTATTCAAAAATTCTTTCCAATAGTCGTCTAATAAATTTATTCTTTTCTTGATATAGTCAGGCGTTTTTCGTTCTGAACTGTCTTTTTTGAAGTTGTTCAGAAGCGCCTCCATTGCGCTGTAAATTTGGCACTGCGTTGCTAATAAGTCTTCCATGCTGTTGCTACGGCTATTACGTGAGCGAAAATATGGAAAGATCTTACTTGATATCTCTGTTTATTTGATACTGTCTGAACTGGAACTGATCTCTCCAGGCGGCTCCTTCAGCTGCTGCTTGTTGCTTCGATAGTGTGCTGGAGGTGCACGTGCTAGGCACTCAGTCCAAAGTCTACTGTACTAGAACCACTTACACGAACACTTGTATTGTCCTCGCGTATTTGGTCCCGCCTGTTCGTAGGCTCGAAGGACCATAAAGATGTTGGAGACACCTTTAGATGATTGTTACTGATATGATAAGAGTTCCCGAAACTGTCCCGGAAAATAATTGATATTATAAAATGATAAAACCGTGTTGTTCGAATGAGTAATTTATTGCTACTAAGTTATATTAACATTTATTAAACGTGTGTCGAGTTGCGCGCAGCGCCGACGTTAGCATATTATTGATACATATAGAAATGTACGGGTTTGCTCGTACAGGTACATCATCCTTTTTATTTCATAATTCTACTAATGTTTGAATGAGTGCATTTATTATTAAGGGATTATTTACAATGTCAATAAAACTTTTATTATTAACCTCTATGTTATTATTTTCTTTATTTTTAAGAGCTGGAAAATTATCTTTACTTTGTGTATAAGAAGAGCCATTGATCACAACTGCAGCATTTGTCTGTTTATTCCTTTTTTCTTAATTTTTATTGGACATGTTGCCGAGATAGATAAATGAGACCTGCCACAGTTGATAAACTTAATATTTTCAGGCATATTACATTCTTTATAGAAATGATCTCCAATACAACATTTCTGTGTTTGATTGCATATTTTTTAATGAATGATTAAATTTAAAGCACTTAAAGCATTGTAGCAAGGGTGGTGTGTATTGGTGGACCTTGTATTGCCAGAGATTTAAATACACGAAGTCTGGTAAAATAGTACTTAAAAAAGTAACACTTACAGTCTCTGTTGGAGTTAATTCCCTATTTACCTTTTTCTGAAATTGTCTCAAAGATAATATTTCATACGGTAATGAGAGCTGTTTGTATAATTCTTCATTTAAAATTTCTTTTGGTATATACCTTATGACACCGATTTAAAGGAGATAAATGAGAGATATATTTGATTTTGTTTATAAAAAAATCATATGATTTTTGATCGTTTTGTGATTTCAATAACTAGATAGTATACAGATGTCTATGAACTGATTCGATGTCAGTTTAATATAACTAAAGACTTCGATATATGTTGTACCTTCATAAAATATCATTTAGTCATCCCTTACCCTTTACAAAAACTAAACAATTATGGTGTCACAATTTTAACTCTGAACAGCTTGGCTAATAGTATACATAGAAAGGTTTGAATTTAATATATAATTTTATCCTTACATAGTTAATTATAAACAAAATTAATGTTAACTGAAAATACCTTATATTTATGGAGTTTCAATAAATAAAGAATAGGTATGTTGTAAATAAATAAAAAAATATGTTACCTGAATCAAATTTGGATTGTGAAACGTGAGGATGACATATTACACTTGATGTAGATGGACCAGTTTTATTGAGATCATTTTGTATGTTAGTCACATCGGACAAAAGTGTAGCATGTGAAGATTCCCTTCTAGAATGACAGTAGTTATGTTCAATATCCACTACAATATTTATAGATAGTTTCACACCTACAACAACATTCATTACATTAAAAAAGTTCATCTTTCTTCATTTTGAATGTAGTTTGTTTAGCGCTACCATTAAAATATCATGCCACATTCAAAAAATACATTGACAAATTTGATAGCTTGAAAGGAATTCATTGATAGTAAATAGATATATGGAGTAGCTCGGTAGCATAGTGGATAAGCGCCGCGGCTCGCGATCGTAGTCGTTAAGCGACATTCCTTTCCATAAGGAAGGCCTGAGCCCCGAGGGACGTAAAAGGGCTGGTGATTATGATGATGAAATAGATATATAAACATACGATCGAAAATTGTCGGTACAGCTGACCAAACGAGACGTCCTCCAGTAGTTTTAAACTTCGTCTCAAAATGATGATCACATATTCTCTTGTTCTTATAAATTTTTTGAGGATTGTTTTCACCAATATTCACACTAACTGCAGACACCCAAGCAGTAAATAATTCGGGGCGCTTATCGGGATTTGGAAATCGATGGAAAGGTACATTATGGATAGCTGAAATAGGAATGATAGTTATGTTAATGCCGAAAATTTAATGTAAACATTATTCACATCATTTAAATCCTGTTTAAGACATCTCGATGTAAAGCGACATGAAATGCAGCTTAAATACAGTTTTTTATTGCTTGAATAAAATCATTAATCATTTAAACTCAGTTACCTAAGCTATCACAGCCAAATATGCAATATTTCTTCTGAACTCCACTCATGATTACGAAAGTGACCAAAACAAAGTTTAACAAATAACAAGAAAACAGTTTTAACAAAGAAAATAACAAGAAACTTAACAAAAACACTAACAATGTAAGATTTTAACAATAACAAAAACACCGAGAAATTCAACAAGCGCATCAACATCTACAAACGAGCCAGACAGAGTTGACAATGATAAGACTGGCGAAATTGTCTGTCAAATAAATTTGACAACCAAAGCTTCACTAATTTGATGATCGATATTAAAAAACATCGATATTAACATCGATTCGAAGGCATCGATGTACGATTAGTATCAATTGAAAACCATCGATGTTCCCCAAACATCGATGTTTTTCATATCCCGAATTAAAATCCCGATTGTAAACTGAATGTATTTTTTACAAACAGCGCTAAACAAACAACATTCATAATGAAGAAAGATGAACTTTTTTAATGTAATGAATGTTGTTGTAGGTGTGAAACAATCTATAAATATTGTAGTGGATATTGAACATAACTACTGTCATTCTAGAAGGGAAACTTCACATTCTACACTTTTGTCCGATGTAACTAACATACAAAATGATCTCAATAAAACTGGTCCATCTACATCAAGTGTAATATGTCATGCTCAAGTTTCACAATCCAAATTTGATTCAGGTAACATATTTTTTTTATTTATTTACAACATACCTATTCTTTATTTATTGAAACTCCATAAATATACAGGATGTTTGGAAATACATGTATAATCCCGAAACATGGCCATACAACTTAGCACAAAGAACATAATTAATATGTCAAAAAACAATTTCACGTAAATTGAGATTATCATACAAATATTTGAACAATTTGTTTTCAATTAATATGCTATAACCCTGAAAGCTTACACGTGCCGTCCCAGCGTACTCACTCTCTCTCTCTCTCATTACCTCTCACACTCTCTCGTATCCTAGAATACACTTTGATGTCGCCGACGCGCGCACTTGACTGCGTATGAGTTTACTTGTAATTAAAACAATTTAAGATTAAACAGGTACATACCTAGAGGCAGCGTTCTAATCACTCTCTCAGCTCTCACTTGTCAACATTACCTACACTTCACCTCCACTTTATCAGTCCAAGGTCTGGATATGCCGGCCACCGCATAAAACACACATCTCCATTCGATTCGACACAGACCGTGTTACTCTCGACGTAAAATCATATCCTCTGTCTCGATGGAATAGGTGTCCGGCCGGCCTTCCTGTATCACTCTATGGAATGAACCAGTTGTATGTAACCGATTCACAAGTGCCGCGAAGCACTGTTAAGAGGGAAGACGTCGAGGGTTTTCAGATCTTCCTGACACGTGGCGCTCGTCATAAAGACGCCGAGCCGCAGCAAGATTACCGTCACAAGCACCAATACACAATATCATCGCGTAATATTAGGCATTTGAGTACGAACTCATTGCACTGACCGCACACAAACACAACACACAGGTAAACAGAACGAGTATGAAAAACAAACCAAAAGTCCCGAAAGAACGAAAACGTAAGTTGACCTTCAAAATTTGAAAACTCACAAGTACACCGATGAAAGTCTCCGACGCAACTGAAGCGATGACCAAATCTACATAGGTAATTATTGCAACTCGAACACCGATGTAGGTACCTAAATCAAAAGTGCACCGATTTAGGGTTCCGCGTCATCAAATTTTGTGTTAGGTAACCTACCTAACAAAAGATCGTTATTTTTTTATTTAATTAAACAATGAAATTTCATGGTAATTAATTATATATATTTTTTTTACTGACGAAATTGATAATTAGGCTGTTTACTTATTATTACAATTTTATTTACGCTTTTCACGGTTACAAAAGAAAAAAAAGGCCATAATATTAAAAGTGGTTACCTAATTTAAGACCAAGTCATTAACAAAATTATAAGGCATACAAATTATTGATTAAATTAGAAAAGAAAAGAAATATTATTTATTATTAGACCTTTCCATTACAACTAACCTTTATTTAATTATCATTTAAACTAAGAATAATCTAGATATTTAGATTATTAATATCATGGTATAAGTCCGTATTTTATTGTTTCGTGAAAATAACACTGCTTTATGAAAAAAAATAACAAAACTTCAAAGCAATTAATCTACAGAACCTTACTGACACATCAGAAACCAGAGTTTCTCAATACACATCGTCGTCGATTTTATGTCTCTGTCCCTCCTTCTTGCATAGACTAATGTGAGCAATAGTGCAGATATCTAACTTCAATCATAGTATTTGCAATTTCTTTTTTATTTTGACGGTATTATTGGAGAAGTTTTCTAAATAATAGTTTTTGAAACACCGTTAATCACAAGACTGGTGGACTTTTATGGTTAAAAGTCATTTACTACTAAGTTTTTCTTTGTTTTTGAAATAATAAATTACTCTCGGATGCATATTTATTCTAGGCATTTATCTTAAGATTTATTTAACTTCTGTTATTTTTTACTTTTAAGAAAACCGGCAGGGTTGTCATGGAGAAATCAAGAAAGTACCGTAGCTCCATCTAGTTTGATTTCGAGAACTAATTGTTTTTTTTAATACTTCTTCATTCAACATCTTTGTGTGAAATAAAAAAGGGAGAAAAATCAGCCCTCACATATATTTATTTTTTTCTCCCTCAAAAACCTAAACTGACTTCATAATAGTGGAAAAATAATACTTAAAAACTACAAAGACGGTTTACAATTTTAAGTAGAGTAGAGAGAGTAAGTAAATCGAGGCCAGCAAATGGTCAGTAGATTTCCTGAATTTTTTAAATCACCTTTGGCGAATTAAAGTTGTTTTTTTATTCTTATTTAATATTTTTTTATAAATATATACTTACTTATTAAAACTGGTAACTGAGATCTTGGTATAATTATAGGTCTAGGTGCTTTTCCTGAAATAACAATATTATTTATATTAGCGATTTAAGTGAATAATTTTAAAAAATCAATCAAAAGAATAGAACAGACTTGAAAACTTAAAAAAATAAATAATCTCATCTCAAAAGCTACTTATTCAAGAAAATTCAATTAAAGTCGGGCGGGCGAAAGTCGGGCCTTTTGTAGGTTATATAAGTAAGTTGCTTTTGATATAAGTATTATTTATACTTTTTTAAAGTTTGAACCCCCGTACTATTTTTTTTTTTGTCTTTATTTCATGCGTTTTAGTGATACTTTTTTTTTTTAAAACTAGCTGAAGTTCACCCGGAACTTTGTACCGTCATATAACCTTGTCCTGACAATAAGGAATACATAAAAAAATAATAATTCAATGATGAAGTATTTTAAGAAAAAAAAAAAAAAAAGAAAGCACTAAAAAGGCACCTCCACTAAATGGAGACTAGCAAAAGTTGATTTTTGCAGGCAACGAATGGACCAAAGTTAGTAATTTCCATTCCTTTTAACTAAAATATTAAAAAACGGAAATTTGCAAAGTTCGAAACTTAGATATCAACATAAATACGAAAAAGTACAAATAGAATATGAGTTGTTTATTGAGTTTTGAAAATTAATGATCTTTTATACATGGAAAAAAAACCGGCAGTTGTCATGGAGAAATCAAGAAAATATCGTAGCGACATCTAGTTTGATTCTTGGAACTAATGTTTTTTTTTTCACCTACGGCAAGCTACGACAAACATAGACAATAATTTAAACAGGCAAAGCCGCGGGAAAATAGCTAGTAATTATAGGTATAAATATTCCGTTTTTCTTTAGGAGGAATCTGAAAAATTGTTCCTATAAAAAAGGTATTCTACGACTTTGATAATAAAGTCTATACTCACTCATCTGCTGCTGAACGCTGAACGATTCGTTTTGAAATTCCCTTGGGAGTTTATCCATAGCTGTTTGAACTGTAACAATATAAAAAATATATACAGCTTTTATGGAAGTTACATGTAAAAAAAATGAGAATAATATTCCCAAAAGTTAAGTAACTTTTACAGGATGGGTGACCGAAAATTATCTACTACTAAATATGGACGACGCCATATTTGTAATAAAATAAAATGCCACTGCACAATTTGTGTAAGCAACGGAAATCTAATCTTAGACAGTTTTTTTTTCTATCTCAGTAATTAGTTACCTACCTTTAAGCCATTATTGTCTAAAGTACAAAATCCATGTAACCTTACTTTGTTTAAATATAACCTAAATCTGTATAAATAAAGTATTATTACACGTTTTGTGTATGATGTAAAAATAAAATTGTTTGTATATAATTTATTAATTATATACTAATAATTTATGACGCTCCATGGACCACTTGGGATGGACCAGGGACTAACAGTGGTCCGAGCATCACCGGTTCAGAACTGGTGCTATATATACGAGGGTCAAACTGAAAGTTCTTAGAAAATCAAAAACTGATTACATTAGCCAGTTATTAGTTTTATTATATCTTTTCAAAATATTATCCATTCACGTCAATACACCGCTGCATGCGATGGAACCACTGGGAAAAGCACTTTGCCCACTCGTCCTTAGGGGTCTCTTCAATGGCATCGCGATACGCAGCCACCGCTTCTTCAGCATTCATAAACCGCTTTCCTTTAAGTTTTTCTTTAATTTTTGGAAATAAATAAAAATCACAAGGCGCGAGGTCGGGGCTATACGGCGGGTGACCCAGTAATTCAACGTTTGATGTCGCCAAATAGTCGATCGTTCGCTTGGCGGTGTGCGACGAGGCGTTGTCGTGGTGAAGGAGGATCCTACTGCGAGGTCGTTTCTCTCGAACTTTTTCCAAGACAAGTGGCAAACAATTGGTAGTGTACCATTCTGCAGAAACTGTTTTTTGATCCTCTAACACAATTGTTGCAAAATGACCTATCCTTCCAAAGAACGAGGCCACCATTTTTTTTCCCGCACTTCGATCTCTCTTCACTTTAGTTGGCAACTCCTCGAAAGGAAACACCCACTGAGCAGATTGTCTTTTGGTTTTAGGATCATAACAGTAAATCCAGCTTTCGTCACCTGTTAGTATGTCGAACACAGCATTTGAGTCACCTCCGTTAAATCTTTCAATCATTTTACGACACCAATCCACACGATGGAGTTTTTGAGCCTCAGTCAAATTATGAGGTATCCACCGGGCGCAAAGCTTCCTGACCGCTAAATGTTCGTGGAGGATTTTGTGCACTTGACTCA